GCTAAAACTTGTTCTTTGGGAACATTTCCTAAAACTTGTTCTGCAGCACCTTTTTTGAAATGATAAATCCAGTCTAAAATGTTTGAAATAAAGTTGACTGTAATTTAAAGTCATACTGAATTTTTATTTCTCTAGATCAAGAATCTGACTCTCATGGTAAATGATCTGGAATCATCGGACAAAAACAATATCCTTACAATCCATAGAGAAATTGTGGCTCTCCAGAATCGATTGAAGGAATGTGAAAAACATAGAAATCAAACCACAACACCCTCCTATTTCCCACCAGGTAAGCATTCTGTGTATGAATCACATGAAAAGGGACGGGAGAAGTAGGAACAAGACTGGGTTAAATGAAATGACAATAAATCACAGGTCTTGGAAAATTTGCCAGATGTACTAACTTTCAGCGACAGGCTGATATGAAAGATGAGGGCAGGAAACAAACATTTTCACATACTCTTACTGTTTTTCAAGTGGAAAAAGTTGGAAAATAGTACAAAAGTATGAAAAGTAATGTTTTGCCCTTCATCCAAACTCTGAATAGTACCTCAGTACCAGCAATACTATTTGAAACAAATCAGATTTATAGAAGAAATTAATATCCATTTAATTTTGAAATAAGATTGCTGTGAGTTAAGTTCAGTAATAGATTCAATATGTCGACAGTTAAGAACAAACCATAATGCCAGAGGTAGCGATACACAAAATGGCTCTAACCTCTGCTCTGGCCAACCAAGCCCAACAAATGGCTGGTGCTGACCAAGAAGGGGCATGACGCAGGTGGCCGAGGGGGTGGGAGGCAGCAATTCAACACAGTCTCTCGGCCGCTTCCATCAGCAGGGCTCCACAGAAGCCCCAGGAAGAAATGAAATCTGCTTCCCACTCCCAGCAGTGAGGGCACTGAGTGAATTCCAGATCCCCACATGCTTTGGCACCAGGGGTCAGGCTGGGGGAAAGAGGTGTGGGAAAAGAAATACAAGAGAAGAAAGGAGACAGTGGAGCTTAGGAAAGGTGGACAGACAAAAGCAAGAGAGAGATGGTGAGTTTCACTTCAAAACCGTATTTCATAGACTGCCACAAACTTTACAATTACAGTTAAATACACATTAGCATTGGATTCTGCAGACGTTACCAACAGTTAGACTGAAAGGCCACAAAGATATTGTCCTGCCTCTAGGCCAGTGCATCCCTCTATCTGGATGCTGATAAATCCTCACTGCCAGGAATAAATTTGATCCCTCTATTTCTGAAGAAAAAATGTTTTGCATTTGCAAGCAGCAGTTTTCTCCAAGTGGCAGATGTGTTCCAATCATTTCCCAGGGAGAGCATCTTCAGACAAGCCATAAGGATTCTCCCCACCCTTCACATTGCTCTGTATGTTGTGGACTGCTCAGAAATTTCTGGCATTGGGCACCTGCTCATGCTGCCACGGAGGCCCAGATGAGTTTCCTGATTCTGCTCCACTGATGTTCTTCAACCCTCCATAAGAGGGACCAGCTTTAGGTGTGAGAGGATAGTTCTGTCTTTGTTTATTTCTCTCTGTTCTCAATGCTAATAAGGGGGTGATGATGATATTTGTGCTGTGGCCACTTCCCTATTAGGAATAGACTAAGTGCAGCAACTCTTTTCACATAGGCTTGCAAACAGCCATCCAAAGATAGTCACTGAACAGATAAAATAGAAGTGATTGTGTCAAAGACATCCCATCTACTAGAGCATATGCAACCTCTGCACTGATTTGATATCATCAGCTGTTACCCTGAATTGATCAATTAATAGCTACATGAAACTCAGGTCTTGGCAGGTAAACTTTACTTCCCCTCTAAGAGGGAGCATTGTCTAGTGCTTAAAGCACCTGACTTTGAGTTAGGAAATGTGGGTTCTAGTCTTGGCACTGCCATTCACTTGCTGTGTGACTGTGCAGGTCGCTTAACATCTGTGTCTCCGGTGACCATGCCTTTAAAGGGAAAAAACTGGCACATGTTCATGGTGGCATCTTTTAGGGCTGCAAAGAGTCAGACAAAAGGATACTTTTATTTTTAAGTGTGCTGGTGTCACCACTGCCAGCTTCTCACCCAGGGAGACCTGCATATTTTGGAGTGGAGGATTTTTTTCCAATACTTTAGTGTTCTGCATTCATTGTGAAACATTGAACAAGTGTCATCAACAGTCGCTTTGAGCAGAGGAACAGCTTTGATAGCGTTTACTTTCATTCAAGTTCTCTTCATTCCAGACATTGTTCATTACCCTGAAAGCTCATTCCACTGGGCTGTTTGTTCTCAGTAAACAGTGCAAATTCTACTCAGCATAGCAATACATCTTGAACAAGCATTGTGTAGCTATAAAAAAACAAATATTTTGCCTGATGAAATGAAAAAAAAACCCAGGATATTTCAATTATCCTGAAGCTCCTGGGACATCATAAGAAAAACCAAGACTG